CAGCAATCCCCCATGACTCTCCTGTCTCTACCTGACTCATGGTGCAGAGGTCACAAGAGCTAAAAGAGTGCATGGCCACACTTAACTTTTTACATACGTGCTTGGGTTCAAACTTAGGTCCTCATATTTTCATAGCAAGCACTCTTACCCACCAACCCATCTCTTGAGCCCTATTTTCTTTTTAAATAAGAATAATCGCCCCAATAAGTGGAGGAAAATAGAACAACCGCATACCTCAGTAAAATCACATGATCAAAGTCCTTCCTTTTTTTGAGAACTGTTTCTTGCCAAGTGGAAAAACTCATTAAGGTAGTTTCTAGATTTGAAGCTATTTCTATCTTGTCTCCAGTTGACCATATTTCAAGGCCAGCCAATGTCACATGGATGTTCAAGGTTTTATAAATCTGTTCAAAGAGGGGATAATTTTCATAAAGTCAAATTGTTAGAAGTTTCTTTCATTATTACCTGTATTCCCCTGTGATAAAAAAAATTCAACTTGTTATGTGAATGATTTAAACTTTTTTCCCTTTTACAACTGAATTTAGGTTTTAGTTCTCTGAGGGGGCAAAACAGGTTTCTCTCCCAACAAAGGGCACTAATCAACAGCATCTTTACATTCAGGGGTGATGGAGAGAACATGTAGAAGGCCTGAGTCAGCCCCATAATGTCTCAAAGACAAATCCTGCAACTCCCACCTTTTTCTGAATCATATCTGGACTTGCCCAAATTTTCCCAACTTTGTCCAACATTGATAAAACTGAATCTCAGTCAATTAAAAGTATACCAATGTGCTGCTGCTTGCTTGACCTGTTTGAGATGACCTAACTGTTCCTAAAATTCCCCTAGCTGTGCTAAAAAGAAGCCTGCACACTCCCTTCAAGGTCACTTTGTACCTGTGTTTGATCTCACATGCTGGGAAATGAATGCTCTCTGTTCTGGCATATTATTCGAGTCTGGAGTCTTCCTTTAGCATTTTCACAGACCCACCCCTATATTATGCATTTTAAATAGCTCAGCTCCTGTTTCATAAATCGATATACTGAAAGCTAATGAAGGTTATTATATAGAATATTGGGTAAATTTCCATGAATTTCAATAAAGAAACAAATATGGTAAAAAAAAAATTGTTCAAAAAACCTTAATTTCAGTATAGAGATAGAAATGATAAGCATGAATGAAAATAATAGAAAAAATTAAAGCCTTTCATGAACACATTAGAAGGCTATAAATAATCACAGGAAGAATCCTGCTTGCTCCACCTGAATTACCCGAATTGAAATACAAAGAACTGAAAGAATGAAACAAACAGAAGATAGGGTCTAATGCAGTGAGAAAGGCACATGCCATATGACCTAGCATTGCAACTGCTTAGTATTTATGTAAAACAAACAAATATTTATTTTTGCACCTAAGAGTGTGCACAGATGTTTAACGTAGCAGAAATGCAAATAGAAAAATGCCCTTCAACTCTAGAATGAAGCACCACTAATCTAGATGGGCTACTTCTTCTAGTATCTTCTTTTGCATCTCCTTAAGTGACTAATAGATCTAGGATGTGTTCAAATGATTCAGCAAAGAAAGATGAGTAAAACTCACAATTTGTTTTAGTAGTAGTTCTCATTAATGTTTAGATCCACTATAATCTTAATAGATTATAATGAAGTTGTCCTGATTCCAATGACAAGCCATAGACAATAAATTACAGCATGACTTTTTTTTTTGTATACACAGACACAGAACACTAAGTTTAATGTAGTGTGGTCTAATATTTACATTAATATTTTAGTTCTCAAACTGTTGATATTGTTTCATAATTTTTATGTGAGCAAAGACTTAAAATTTTTATTATTTTTATCATTACAGTGTGTGTGTGTGTGTGTGTGTGTGTGTGTGTGTGTGTGTGTGTGTGTGTGTGTGTGTGTGATGGCAGGTACATATGGCAAGTACCTGTGTGGAATCTGAGGACAATTTTGTGGCATCTGTCCTTTCCTTCTACATTCCTGAAGATTCCAGGGTTTGAACTGGTGTGCATCAAACACTTTTCTTTATCCACTGAGGAATCCTACCAGCCCCCTCCAGTGAGCAAATTTTGGAATTTATTTAGATATTAAGTGTAATTTACCTAGTGAACCAAAACTCCAGTGCTCTGGCATGTTGCTGATCATTTTGAGAAGAATTTTATTAACTGGTTGACCTGATGGATCTGTGGCTTATGTTAGCTCAATGTCAAGATGATTACTACAGTCCTTTCGGAAACCTGCCCTAAAAAGTCCATTGCATTTATAGTTTCAGATGGATTCAAATCATATCAAAACTTACCATGTTGACAAAATTGACCATTCCCCAAATTCGTTTCCTTAGCTTGTTTTGGGGTCTACTATTCCTGCGGGACTGGAAACACAAATATAGCATTTGTTACTTATCAATATTGAGAAAAGGCCCAACAAAATACTTCACTTACTAAGAGATATTGTTTTTTTTTTTTTAAAAAAAGAAGAAGCCTCTAGAGCAATAGAAAACAATTCTCTTTCCAATGAGCTAAACACTGAATGAGTTATGAAGACAGGAGAGCTTTTAGACATAAAATAACTAGACATAGTGGTCCCTGAAGATGCGCTTTGGCTTAGCCCTATTTTAAGGTCTTCTTTTGAATTTGGTCATCCCCGTTTCCAATTATATTACATCTGTTGATTTTTTTTGTAAACACATCTGCTTAGTCTTCTTTAGAGCTCATTTTTATTCCTAAGCCACAATTGTGAAAGTTATATGACAGCCATTGCTTTGCAAGCATCAGCAAGTTTCCTGCTCCCCTGACTCCTGAGTACCTGAGGGTAACAAATCACAAATCACATGGTCAAACAGACCCTACATTGAGCCACAGAGGGGAAGGAAACTGGCCATCTCTTCTCTGCAGGACAAAGTTTAGAAGGCCACATCGACTTAAGGGCTCTGAGTTTGAGTCTGTTCTTATAATTGCATTTCTTTACTAGTCATAAATGAAATATATTGAACAGTAGAGGAGGATTTTTCCATCTGAACACACTCAGTCGGTTTCCTTTCATGCTAAAAATCAGAGCCAAGTATGACTTTCCTGAATCCTGCTGGAAGTCTCTGAAATTCTTCTCTGTCGTGTCTTCCTCTTGACTATATTGAGCAGTTTTCTTCACCTTTCTGGGCATCTTGTACGTATTTTGCTTGTACGCATTTACAGTTTCTCTTTCAAGATGTCTGTTTACATCTTGGTTTCTACTACCATTCACTACTGTTTCCTTTGCTCCTACGCGATCCTTAAATTCTAGAAGATGAACATGACTTCTAATAGTCATTTGGGAGGGATCGCCTAGAATACACTGTAAAGACAGTGTCTGAGGCTGTCTGGGAGACCACAGAGTTAAGGTTTGCAACTCAAGGACAGTAGAGGGGAGTAGAGGGGAACCTTTACCTTTTCTTCCAACCCTTCATCCAGTGCTTAGTCCTAGCTGGCGCTCAGACAAGTGTGTTCTTCTTTCTCCTTGAAGTTGCTAGGTCAGTGGTACCAACCATATTTTAAGTATGTTTTCTTTCCCCCAATCCTTTGTCACTGCCAGATATTTTGTGCCAAATTTGAGGATAATAATATTTTCAGTGATGTTTTAAATATATTATTCTTGAAATATACACAATCTCCTATTACTTATAAATTGTATGCTGTATAAATTGTAGAGTTAACGTACCTCTTTGCTTCAACTGATCTGAAAAATATGTTTCGTCCCCCACTTGTCTTCACTGTTGGAATTTTTCATACATTGCTATCTGATTTAACATTTATTTTTGGAAAACTCATAAGGATTGCCTCTCAGAGACCATCTGCCATTTGGTTGCCTGCATGAACTCACCACTGCCTTTTCATGCAGCTTTTCAAGTTCATTCCTCTTTCATAGTTGGTACCAGCTCTTTACTTCCCTGTGCTCCATAGTGATTTCCTTGCTACGTCCTCTGCCTCATGCAGTCTCTCTTCATGTGTGTCTAATCTCTGTTTAATTCACTTGGAGATATGCACTTTTTCCTCTTACAGATGCTAAGGTAGCTTTGTCCAGAAAGCTCATCATTTTATGTAGCCTCTCTTTTACTGTTCCATTCACTTTGCTCTATTCATTTTTCATATTTGCAATGACTTTATCGATTCCCCTAGTATACAGCATAATTGGCTTGTTGACAGTTCTTGAACAACTAACCTATTTCCTGTTACATTGGTTGACTGCCTCATGAGGTCCATTTAATCTAGGGCCATTGAAATGGCTTTATTGGGAAATTTCTACTCATGCTCTAGTTGTTTACCACATCTCCAAACAGTTTATATGTTGGAAATTTTGCTTAGTATATCAGCAATTGAACACTAGATGCTGGCATGCCTGATGTGGAGCATCTGCACATAGCACAGACCTGGAGTCTGTCTTCCAGTGGTTGCCATTTTCCCTGCCATGGCTACAGGCAGACAGGAAGTTATTTCTGTCTTCTGAGGTCCTTGGGAGGATCTTTGGTAATAGGATTGACTTCATGGCTAGAGGTTCAACTGGGAGAAATGATCTCTTTCTTCATTAAAACGTTTAAGTACTTAATTCTATCTTCCGATATGCTCTAAATACAGATATACAACCTTTGAATTTTACTTCCCATTCTGATGAAGTTTTCTCCTTAATTTTTAGCGTTTGAAAGTTTTCAGTGTCTTCTGTTGAGTTCAAGTCTAGATTATTGACCTGTTTTCAAGCATAAATTGTTCAAAATTCCTATTAGTCACAGTAAGAATAGAGTGTTCTATTTTAGATTAATCTGTAAGATAGTGAAGGTACTTAAGAATTTCTTATAATATGTATGTTTTGGGGAGCTGAAAGCGGACATGTGAATCCAGAATGGAACTTAGTGGAATTTCCTTCTCTCTAAGTGAGAACCCGAGGTGTAGTTTTACAGAGGAATAAGGTGTCTAATGTCCATCTGAGAACTCACCACATATTCATCAACAACAATGAACAGTTCAATAAAGTTTTCTTTGTGGAAGCCCTGAAAATGGACAGAAAGTTCAATGAAACCTATTACCAATTTAATAGAAAAAAACAACTTTTCATGATAAGGAATCTTAATACTATCATATTTGAAGGTGAAACAAATGGGTGTATCTAATACACCTATGAACTTTTCTCATTAAAACATCTGGACCTACACATTAGATTTTAATAATCTTTGAGTAACATTCCATATTTGACTATTTTGCCTTTTTTTGTTTAGTTTTCCAGCATAAATAAGAGTTGTAAATTATTACAAATAAAGTATTTTTATATTTTGGGTTTCTTTTTTTCATCTATAAACAAAACAGCTTGTAACTAAGGTCATGTGCCACTAGCCCATACAGTTGTGTATTTATATCTATACACACAACTGTATGTATATGCATACATACATGTTTGTATAACTGAGAAATAACTGCTAAGAATGCCCATATTTCTCCAACTTCTCCACAATGCCCCCTAACATTTTTTACTGTGTGGTATTCTCAATCCTAGGAACACTTATAAGCACTGCCAATAATTATCGGCCTTTCCATTATAGGAAACACAAATACTAGGAAATTCTGAGCTTCTAGCCCTGTGGAACAAGTGCATTTTCTGAACAGTGCCCAGGGCTACTCTTCAAAAATTTGACAAAGTCATCCTTTGCTGATATATGTAATTATTTATCCATTGAGATACTCAACCAAGAAATACCTGTGAGTTATGTAATGTTTTAGACACCCACTGCCTAGACCATAAACATGAGACGTAAAACAAACCTGCGGCCTACCAGCTAACATCTAGGAGAGTCAGGAAGATAGCATCTGACTGTGAGGAAGCCTAAAAACACTGAGCATGTTGCAGCCAGCCCACCAGAAACTGGACCTGTTAGCATCCTTGATTGTCTTTTATCATAACACTGAATCTGGTGTAAGAGGTGAGTTTGTCATCACCAACTTCTCCCTAAGCGGTAAGGAAGAGTAAGATAGGATACTACAAACCATCCTTTTCCAGTTGCTTACAGCCTCAACGCTGGCATTCCATATGGAGGGTGGGAAGCTTTTCCTTTATGGAAACTGATGAAACAAACAGGGATTTGCTGAAGAGAATAAATACTTTCTACATAGACATAAAGAAGTTTGATGTTCAGTCTTTGGACCATGAGTTTCCAATTCAGAATAGGACCTGCATTTCACTATTGTGTGCACAGACTTTTTCTTGGGAGATCAGAGTGGTTTTTTGTTTTTTTGGTTTAATAAGGAGGATTTAGAATACTTACTTCCCCTTTGTGCTCTTTTATATACTTAGCATCTATCGGAGCAAACTTCTTGGTAAAATTGAGCCCTGAACAGGAATAATTGGTAGCATAGGGCGCCTTAACATTGTATTTGAACACCAAATGCTCTCCCTCATCCGAGTATTTTACTGGTTCGATGAGATACCGTTGGTCATTCACTCTGAAGAAGCCCCTGTGGAAATAGCAACACAACATTATTCAAATCTGTAGCTATCCCCCCCGATATAGTGACATTAGCGTCCCAGAGAGGGAAGTTCCTGGGATCAAACCTTCTGAGCGGGCTGATTTAGGTAGCAAACAAGTGACACAGACACGGCCTTTGAGGGGATTAGTAACCTTTTCTAAGAAAGAGTCAACCTTTGTCCTCAGAAGCTGATCGGCGTGATTTCTGCTTGGAGCATAGGCAGAAAAGCAGCTTTCCCTAGTGGTTGCCTCAAAGTGTCTGCGTACATGTGATAAATATATCATTCACCAACTGTAGAGTAGGTGTCTAAAGGTGCAGACACTTTGTTAGGTCGTTTTGTCATAAAAGAGATTCCCATTCGTGAGAATTCCAGGGGCCACTCAAGGAAAGTCAGGACAAATGAAAACAGAACTTGTTTTTCCTTCTGACTCACATCTTTCATTTTTACCTTTAAGTCTAAGAACTTAAAAAAAAAGTACAAGCTTTATGTCTGACTTTTTACTTTCCAAACCAGAATGGGCTTGGACTAGTATAAAGAAAAATGACTGAAACGTTGTAGTGTCGGAGGAACCCACAGACTTCGGAGTCAGAAATCCTGCACTGTGGAGTCTGTCCAATACTTGCAAGATCTGTGTTCTTAAGCAATTGTGTACTTTCAGCATCCTGACCTCTAATGTGAGAGTACTGCTGAATAGTGTCCTGGAATCTACCAGCTCTGAATCCCTCCAATCTATGCTGAAGACTCACCTTGTTGGGGGCTGTGTGTTAGGCATCTTGTAGTTGAACAGGAGCATAAACCACAGGCTAGAGTTCACATTCACTACTGAGAGCACACAGCGCCCCCTTCCAACTAACTTTTTTTTAAGTTTTTCTTTTTTTTTTTTCCTTTTATTTTACAATACCATTCAGTTCTACATATCAGCCATGGATTCCCTTGTTCTCCCCCCTCCTGCCCCCCTTCCCTACTCCCCAACCCACCCTCCATTCCTACCTCCTCCAGGGCAAAGCCTCCCCCGAGGACTGAGATCGAACTGGTAGACTCAGTCCAGGCAGGTCCAGTCCCCTCCTCCCAGACTGAGCCAAGCATCCCTGCATAAGCCCCAGGTTTCAAACAGCCAACTCCTGCAATGAGCACAGAACCCGGTACCACTGCCTAGATGCCTCTCAAACAAATCAAGCCAATCAACTGTCTCACCTATTCAGAGGGCCTGATCCAGTTGGGGGCCCCCCAGCCTTTGGTTCATAGTTCAGGTGTTTCCATTCATTTAGCTATTTGTCCCTGTGCTTTATCCAACCTTGGTTTCAACAATTCTCACTCATATAAACCCTCCTCTTTCTCGCTAGTTAGACTCCCGGAGCTCCACCCGGAGCCTAGCCGTGGATCTCTGCATCCAGATTCCTCAGTCCTTGGATGGGGTTTTTGGCACAACTATTAGGGTGTTTGGCCATCCCATCACCAGAGTAGGTCAGTTCCGGCTGTCTCTCTACCATTGCCAGCAGTCTATTGTGGGGGTATCTTTGTGGATTTCTGTGGGCCTCTCTAGCACTTTGTTTCTTCCTTTTCTCATGTGGTCTTCACTTACCATGGTCTCCTATTCCTTGTTCTCCCTCTCTGTTCTTGATCCAGCTGGGCTCTCCCGCTCCCACAGGCTCTCTTTCCCTCGACCCTCGCCCTTCATTACTCCCAACCTCCTGTGTTCTATCAGCCCACTAACTTATATATTTACTAGATTGGGGAAAAGAAATCAGTCAAGGGGTTGTCATGAACATCAATAGAAAATGAATTAGGAAGCTACTCTGCCTTACCTCAGACCATTACAAGTGCTGATACTAGCAGCAGAATCAAATTCATGTATGATGGACCCTTGGTAAAAACAGTGATCCTAAAACAGAAGAGTCGATTAAGGTAGGTGTAAATGCTGAGACTAAAAATACTGGTAGTTGATTAATTTCTGTTGAGAAATAAATCAGTATTTCATAAGTGACATTTGCATTGAATTTACTCATGGCATCATTTAAGACATTTGAACCTGCTTTAGGAACCTTTTATTCTAATTGAATGACTACTTTGTGTCAAGCCATATATAAATTATTTCCTCATAAGTTTGTCTATTAGACAATGAGACTAGTTTCAAATCTGACCGTTTTCCTATAAATGTGACTCCTTCTCTTATAAATATGACTCCTCTGTCCATCCTCAAATCCTCGACAAAGTTCTGTCTCTTCCTTAGCTGCCTACTAAATCAAGCCAAGCTTGTGATGTTTCTAAAGTTAGATCTTCCTTGCCAGCTACCCCACCCCAATGTTTGTCCCTCTTGTTTCACTGTTTCAATCCAGCTGGAATCTTTATTACTCCTGCTTAGTGCATTGCTCATGATAATTCCATCGGGCGATGACCCTTTTCATCTCCTCTGTCTGTGCACCAGGTGATACTTCCTGTGGCCCTCCAAATATCTCACACTTGGTATTCTATGTTCCTTTTGTCCCGTATTTTAAGGCTGCATGGTGATGTAGCTCTTAAACAAGTTTACAGTTGATTTATATAGAGGAAATAGAGTTTTTAAAGGATACTTTTGGGTGGAGGAAGTCATTCTCTTGTTTAAGGACTATAGATAGAAAGTTCTGAAAGGTAATGAAGAAGATTCTCTACCCCTAGAATAATAGTAATGAGTTATGCAAAGCTTCCTCTGGAGAATGAAGAGGAGACTTTAATGCTCGTGTATCAGAAGGGCTGGATGGGTGTCACAGACCAAGTAAGAGCATATCTTGAAAGTTGTTTCATGTGTTTAGATTTTACCCCTTTTACTTAATTACAACTCAGTCAGGATATGCTATGTTTATTTTGGCTCCTGCTTCAGCCTTTTTCCACTTAACCACCATAGTGAATATAGAGAAACTTTAGCAAAGAAAGATATGATACAGTCTTTGCTCTGCTTGTTAGGAAGTGATCAGCTCCCTGTAGGGCTTAATGGGTCCCACTTTCTATTCTATCATCACTTAGTAAGAACAGTCAACTCAGGGCTAGCTCCTTTAGAGAAGCTTTGAAATAATCTGGAAATCTGGCATTTTTTTTTTTTTAACCAGGAAATAACCATTTCAGAGAGGATGAAGAGGAAGGTTTTACAAGATACCAAGATCGGTGGGTGCCTGGTGAACATATCTCCCTTTACATTGTAGTATGTCTCACTGTAATTTGAGGCGAGGAATTCCCTGAAAGAGAGAGAAGAAGTAAAGAGAATTATTTATTTTAAAAACATTACCAGCTGGGTGGCAGTGGTGCACACCTTTAATCCCAGTACTCAGGAGGCAGAGGCAGGCGGATCTCTGTGAGTTCGAGGTCAGGTTGGTCTACAGAGCAAGATCCAGGACAAGCACCAAAACTACACAGAGAAACCCTGCCTCAAAAAAAACAAAAAATAAAAAAATAAAAATAAAAACATTACATACAAAAATGGTCACAAAAATGGTTGTGAAGCCTCAAAGATGCCTTTGAATCTCAAGAAGTCCTTTCCTGCATATACATACATATATACATACACATGCACACATATATACATACACATGAATATATTTAAATAATATTAGGCATGCTGATAAGAAACCTTTCAAAAACTGAATCTCATACTATTATATGTGCTCCAGAAAATTCAGGAAAAATTGTGGCAATTTTACCAAAGCAGTATTTTAAAAACTTCTGAAAAATAATTTATAGAGTTTTAACCTAGTCATGTGAGGATGGTTCAACATTTAAAACCAACAAGTGTAAATTACACTATGACTATTTCAAAGAATAGCTGCATCAGATATGGCCCTATTGTCTATAAATGTGACTCCTTCAATTTGTCTTTAGATCTTTAATATGCTGATCCACTTTTACTAAGACAAAGCAATCCCCAAACATTTCTCAGTGAACTTTCCTCATCTGATAAAGTAACTCAATGGCATATCTTTGGGTATCAAATAATGGAGCTATAATAAGAAACCTATTGACATGCCAACCAGATCTTTCCAAATTGATTTGTAAATTCAATAATGGTAGTGAACAACTATGATCCTAGCACTAGAGAGGTAGAGGGAGGAGGATAAGGAGTTTGAGGTCATCCTCAACTACATAGTGAATTTGAGAATAGCCTGGGCTATAAGAGACTCTGTTGAAACAAAACAAAACATCTTACCTTGATTTCAGAAGGTGAAGGATTAAAGTTTTTTTGCCCAATTTTAGTTCATACAACAGTTCTTCTTCATATGCCTCCTGGAAAACAAGATCTTCCCTGTGACTTCCACATCTATTTATGGTAAGAGGGTGTGTAGAGTGTGGCTCAGGGGCCATTACCCACCTAGAGATCCTCACAGTAACTTCAGGGAAGAAACATTGACAGAGATGAATTTAAAGAGAGACACAATTATAAAGATGATTCTATCAATTATATTTTAGTTCAAAAGACTTTTCTAGTAAGGAAATAAAATGGATAATGTATATTCATCTCTCATTGAAGAGTGTACATATCACTTTATATTCACTTATATAACGTATATTAGCTTGTTCTTATAAAAGATCTTCCCTTTTGTGTTTTAAAAACAGTTTTGTATATATATTCCATATTCTTCCTTTCTTCTTCACAAATCATTATTACTACTTCCTATTGTAAATCATCTCATATAGAAGACGTTTAATAGCTGTTATACATCAATATGAAAAGAACTTAATTTACTTACTTTGCATCAATTATCAGAAATTTAGTTTGCAAGGTTCATTGTAGCTAGAGTTGCATTTTTCTACAACATGGATAAAATAAGTAAGGCTTTTGATATGTACTGGCAAGTTGCTCTGAAGAAAAGGAACATAGATTTAGAAAATCTGCCAGCACAATCCATGGCAGCCCTGGTTGGATATGCCGACAGGAATATCTAGTCCTGACAGATCAGCTTATTAGTTCTAGTGGCTGTCAGTAATGAACGATGAAATTCTAATTTTCCCTTTACTTTGATGACTATTAGCACAGCTGCTTTCTTCCAGGGTAGTTATGAGGAGTTTGCTGATCTTTTGATTCATTGTGTTTGTTTTTTTTATACTTTGTGAGAATTCTTTCTAGTGCTGGTCCATAGTTATTGCTCATATGTGTTACCCATTTTTAAAGTTAATTCTTCATCTGTTTGAGGAAACTGTTACTTCAGGCATAGCACTTAATATGATCAACAGAGTAGATTTTAAAACTATTTGAGAAGATAGTGTTGAGTTCCCATCCAAGCCTCCTACTATTAACATGTTACATAGTTATAATTTTCACAACTCATGAACTAAGATTGCATTATCGTTAAAGTGTGTAATTATTTTTATGCTCTCAGTTTTACTGGCTGTCTTCTTATTTTTGCATGGTCCTAACTCCAAAGCCACATTATGTTTGTTTGTCATAGCCCCTTGGTCTTCTCAAGCCCAATAATTTCATGGATTTTTTGATGGCTTTGACATTTTTGCCTTGCACTCATCAGATGTCCTATGGGATGACTCTTGGGTATTTTAATGCTCTTCTTAATGCTTGGCTAAAGTTTATGGTTTTCCAATGAAAACCACTAAAGACAGAACCACGGTGTCACCTCAAGAGTCCATATTGTCTTCTCACAAATGTGTTTTTTTTAATAAACTAATTAATTGCTTGATTAATTAATTTTGAGGGCAGCTATTTCTTTTTTTACATTTTATAATTAATTTAATTTTACATTTTATAATTAATTTAATTTTACATATCAGCCACAGATTCCTCCCTGTCCTCCCTCCTCCCCCCCTCCCAATCCACCACCAAGCTTACAGTTACAGATTAATAAAACTAAAGGAATTTCAATGTGAGGAACTCTAAGTACTGAGAAGCAGAAACAAGATCGAAGTGTGAAATTGCTGAGGGAGGCTTCACTCATGGCAGACACACTGAGGAGAACCGCAGACTGCAGCAGAAACAGTGGAAGCTAGAAGACGGTGGACTAGCTTTAAACTATTTCTAAAAGTATAAATAAATAAATAACCACTGACACGGAAAAAAAAAAGAGTCCATATTGTCAATGTGACTTATGAGAAATGCTGACCTTGGTCACCTAACAGACATCTTACTTACCCATAATTTTCTCTCTGTAAAGTGACTCTTTCTTCTGCCCTACGCTTCACTCTTTGGAATGAAATAATAGGTGAAACCCACGGTTAAGGGGTGAGGACCTACACTACTTCCTGAAGAGGAGATGACAGATAGAAATGATCACTTCTTCTGTATGGAACATTGATCTATCTTCCCATGTGTGTTTAGTTATTCTCTAATTTGTTAGTATCAGTAAAGCCTCATGGATCCTACTGGAATTTTTTATATTGCAGCAAAAAAGCCCATCATTTATCTTATTATTCATATTGTCCCATATTTTCTCTTGGGGGAGCTACAAGTTGGCTCCTGCCCTCTTTTGATATGCCCTCACCAATACAGATTCGGAGTTGAGGGGCAGGTCTTTTGTTTCAGTGAGAGATGCTTTTCAGCTCCAGGCTCACCCTGTGTATTTCTTCCCTGGCCCGGGCTAATTTCACACATGGTAGAGTTTCTGATACAAAGCTTCACTGTCCTAAGACAACAGCTCCTGCCTATTGGGTGGTAGGAAGCAGGTTCCCCACTTGGCTCGGTATCAACCTTTAACTACATAAAGGTTTGAGAAGATGAGGAAAGAGTTGAAGATTAAAATAATACTTGCAAAGAATCTTATTAGAGAAAAATAGCACAGCATTACCTCCAGAAGCAAAAGGGCAGAGAGCTGCCTCTTCCTTGTGTCAAGCTATGAGATCACGTGAAAAGCTTAAATGTAGCTTTCTAATGACTGAGAACTAACAAGTGAGGGTATGAAAAACTAGCTGCCACCATGGGAAAGGAAAGAAAAGTCATGGCACCAGGAGAGGTTTGCACTCTTGTCGTTGTCGGGGCAGGAGACCTGTCAGTATTTTCTGTGAACCCAAGTTAAAACCTAGGCTGTAAAATGCAAGTATCTAATTATAACTCCCTAACAACACACATCTAAGATCTTTATAATCCTGGATAGTGAATAATTATAATGCTTGCTCCATCTCGTGTATATTATCTATCTTATATAGTAAATCTTTGAAAATAATACTTTAGGTATTTTGAAATGTTAACACTCAAATGAACACCATTGCAAGGCCAGGCAGTTGGGTTTTTTTTTGTTTTGTTTTATTTTCATGAAAGCTGTCCTATTGGGCTGCAAAACCTGTAAAGCAAGTAAGTCTGCACACTGAAAACCTGCAAAAGCAAACTGAAGGCTGGAGATTGCACTCCAAGGTCACCAGCTCAGAAGAATTTAGGGTGCATTACACAAGTCTGCAAACACTCAGGAGAATGCCTCGCTGAAACTGAAAAACAGAAAACAGCTCCCCCAAAGCTTGAGCAGTCCTCTTTTTTTGTTTCCTAATCCACTGAGGGTCAGTCACCCCCAAGCATATGGTGTAAACCAAGTGGAGGTCCTCTACAAAACTGAAACCCACATTTGCTTCATACTTACTCCCACATGGAGGCAGAGATGGCTTTCTGCACTGTTAGAACATGGACAAAAAAAAAATGACCCATGGTGAACAGTGCCTTGGGGAACCGTGAGAGAGGCTCCAGGAAAAAACGCAGAGGACCTTTTACCTCAGTTGCATTTTGTTCCCGGGATTGTTCTTGGGTGTGATTTCATGCCTTCTGGGTTAAGCATTTACATTTAGTTTATAAGACATGTTTATTCTTGTTGCATGTCAGAACACAGCTATAGAATCCAATCTGGTCAGTATACCCTGAATCTGGGCGTGGCCTTCTGCCTTGCTTCCATGCTTTCCCAGATACAGTCTATAGTATGTGCCAGACAACTGTGTTTAAATTTGTCTGTCCTGGGAAAGTTCTGGGAAAGAGCTACTCTGTCGATATTTAGAATGTGCTTACCGGCATTTATTTACATGTTTTTCTGAACTCAAACAACCTTCCTTGCATCATCACTTTCTTTGTTACATTCGTGTATAAAGTGCATTGAGACTGAAGTTAGATTGTCTACAGCATTAGAGTGTCATCCGCCCTGTTCTTCAAGGTCCTCAAATCCCAGGTCTCAAAGACAGATCTGCGTAGGTTGGTGAAAAGTCACTACTGCACAACTGTGAAAGCCATTAAGTCCTATTTACTAAGTCAGAACACATACCGGCATATCAGAGTCATGGGTGTGTTCAAGATCCCGTTTCCGTATCAGGGGGAGCTTTTTAGGACGGACTAGTTGTTGACCCTCTACTCCAACAATCACCTTTTCTAGAAGAAAACGTAAAAGGAAAACCCATGTATTATCACAACCCACCCTCCAGTGAGTGACAAATGGATTTATGCACATCTAGTTCATGTGTTTCCAACTAGCAGTCATACACTCACAGCGTCTTTGGTTGGTGATGGGAGGAAGTTGAGATGGGTATTTACAGATGAAGGAGACATAAGCAACACTAGAAGAAGGAGGACAAAGATACAGTGTCCTTTGGCTATTTTCACCTTTGTGATTTTTATTCTGCACATTTCTTCCCAGATACTGCCTCCTGCCAAAGCCTGTGCCTGAATGACCTATTTCAATATTAAATAACTCCTGTTGTTTTCTCTTCAGTGAAATTTGCATTTGAAGTCTTAACTCCCACAGGTAAAGTTCGAAGCTTCCACTGCTTAGATAATCTTAGGGAGCCCTAATGCCCATGCTAAACATTATCTTTTATCATGTCCTACCACTTTGGCAGTAAGCTGTGAGTTTATCCTGGACTATGTATGCATAGCTTTAAATAAAGATAGTGGATTTTTGGAATGTACTCAGATTTGAATCAAGGATTCACCAGTTTATGAACTGTGTGACACTAGTATTCTATCTAATCTCTCTGATCTGCTAACACCATTTTCATATTCTTTATCGATAAAAGTGACAATAGTATAGGATTTTAAACCTTCTGACATACAAGGTAGCTAAGGGCTAACAGAGTGTCTATTCTTCTATAGGTATTTTGTAAATACTCATTTCCCTCTCTCATGATTGTCAGTGTTTAAGAGTCATCTGGGCTTTCACAGACTCATTAAATCTCATTACCAGCTGTAACCCACTCCAAGCCCTACACGATATCCTCAGACAAGTCACCAATGCAGTTAGAGTTTTTATAACTTACAGTTTAAATATTGTGGCTAAAGAGATCACGGATCAGGTGTAATGAATAAACCTTACAGAAAAGTATAACACATACCTTCAATCTGAGAAATCAGTAGAGTCATCCAAAATATGCCTATGGGCAACATTCTGAATGGTTTTCTGAGAAAAGCTGCAGCCTACTCCTTGTTCTGGCTTCCACTGCAAGGATGCCCAGCCTAGAAGGTAGATGGGCAGTTTTGATCCAGGACAGGAAATACTCCTAGACCCAGCTACACAACTCATGCAGGGCTTGAGGCTAAAACTCAGCGGTGGACATAGTGTACTAATTAAAGAAAACATTTAGTTTCTGGGGGTGGAAGAACTTGGCACAGGTTCTACTTGGTATCTAATGTGATTATAGATGTCTTAAAAACTTCTGAGGTGAAAAGAGTCAAGAATGTTTTAGGAAAAGAAATCATGGAAGTCTATTTATATACACTTTGGTTGAAGTAGGTGAAGAAGAGGACCATATATAAAAACCATTTGAGAACACCAAACAATCGAAACTGTTAAAAATGTATAGGCTACAAGTCATATATTAATTAAAAATAAAAGACATATTGGAGAGGAGAAGTAAGTAGCATTATAATATAGCACTGTTTCCTAACACACAGAAGAAAATACCGTCAGAGGGATGAATGAGGGGTCATCAAGAAGCCTTTTTCCATGTGTGTATTGTTTTATAATATCAATGCACCCTCTTTGTTTCCATCTGGAATCCATCCTGTCTCCTCCTCCACTTCACACCATTTCTCTAATATTCCCCAAATATTTATCTTCCTTTGATTTAACAAACTCACAGACCGCTGTTGGGACCAGGATAGAAGGTTCAGCAGTTAGAAGTGCATGTTGCTTTCATAGATGTTTGGTTCCCAGCACCCAAGTTGGATGGCTCACAGATGCCTGTAACTCCAGCTCCAGGGAATCAGATGCCCTCTTCTGGCCTCCACAAGCACTGCACTCACATGCATAGACCTAGACCTTCCTCCAGACATACACGCATGACTTAAAAATTAAAATAGAAATTTTAAGGTAAGCTATACTTATTTTAGTATTTAATCATTGGGAAGTTAAACAGTAAAGTAAATAAATACATCCTCAGAGCCCTGTACCAGGGATCAATTTTCATCACTTAAACTTACACTATCATGTTTTGTTCTCCTCTTCTCTCTCTGAGTTTCAGGTTCTCTGACTGCCTTTCTTTACTCTGACACACTATTGAAAGACCTCTGGCTATATTTGTCTTTCTATCTCTACTGGGTAATTAGTAAAGTATGTGGTGTCTTTATTGATTATTTTTGTTCTTTAACAGTTCCATACATGTATATAAAATATTCTGGCACTTCCTTCCAACTCCATTCTTTCTTTTTCTCCTCAGCAACACTATAAAGGCCACTTCATCTCCACTTGTCTCTTTCCCAGATTCAGGTCCTTATGTTTTGACTTGTGACCCATTTAGTTTAGACAGGGCCAGCCATAGTACTCACTACATTTTTAGTTGCAATAAAATTTTATCAAAATGTCAATGATACTTCTCACAGTAAATAGAAAAGTAATTCTAAAATTCATATAGAACTATAACATATTAGAAAACAAAAGTAAGCCTAAAGAAAGAAGACAGCAAGAGAACTAATACTACTTGATTTAAATATACTCTACAATTTAATCTAGTCTACTCATAACAATATGGTATTAGCATAAAAGCAAATATCCAGACCGATGAAATGAAGCAGGGCATCTACAAACAAATATAGGCATGTACAGCTAAGATCACAGGAACACAAACTGGGCAAAAGACACTTATTTCAGTAAATACTGCCAAAGAAATGGGACACATATGTACAGAAGAATGAAAGTAGGCTACTAGCTCTCATGATTTAGAAAAATCAGCCTCAAGTAGATCAAGGCTTAAATGTGTGACCTGAAACCGTGAAGTTCTAGAAGAAAACAAAGGGAAAGAATCCAGAGGATTGGGATGAGAAGAGCTCATCATGGGTAAGTATCAACAAGCACTAGAGACGAAGGAGATTGGGGAAACAGGATTCTGTAAAGATAAAGGTCTACACCAAAAAGAAAACCAATTCGAGAACAAAGAGATAACCTTCACAGTTGGAGAAAGCATTTGTAATCTAATAATGGTTTAAAAAGAACTCTTTATCTGACTTGAAAGTAAACAAACTAGCCCAAACCTCACTAATGAAGGTCTGCTTGTAATTTTCTTTGCAGACATAGGAGCCAATTTCAGCCCATTAATTATGTTTTCAGTGCACTGAAAAGAACATCACATTCAGAACTGGGAGCTGTGTGTTCTCCAGTAAGTGATTCGCCTACCCTTGGCAAGTTTATTTCTCTGAACTTCAATGTCTGAATTATAAATAGGGGCTGTTATAATAATGTTTAACCTTGAAGAGGGTTTCAGCATCAAAGTTTCCATACTTTGACTCTGTGTTTCTTTGACTAAGACCTACTTTGAGTAGGAAGTGTCACTTGAAAAAGAAAAAAGAATACAATTGTGAAAAATTAAAGATTTTAAAAATTTTCCATTTCACAAATGAGACAAATATATACAGATGTTTCTATTAATACACAGAGGAAATGTCTCAGAATAAATGTAACAAAGCATATGAATATTAACACATTTTGATGCCTAAGGATACAAGGGTTCATGGAAGGCTCAGAGCACATGAAACGTAGTGTCATCTCTGATTCTAGTGATCTCATTCGTCACCTGTTGTCACTTCATATGGTTTCCTTCATCTTTAAACACATTTTGGTCCTTCTCTGGAACATATATCCTCTTTCACAAACCTTACCATTTTTCAAAATGCTCAGACTTTTCAACTACCACTGTCCCAGGTTCTCGAATTTTTTCTTAGAGCCACTCTTTCAAGTCTTTGTCCTCACTGTTCTGTACAACTTCCTCACCAAAGTCATCAGTGACCTTCAGATCTTAAATGCAATGACCTTTCTTAGCATTTATGATTGATGTATTGACCATTTCTATTTCCAAGCTTTTGGACATAATTTCTTTTCTTGACCAATAGCTTAGGGTTTTCTCCCACACTAGTTCCTTTCTCTTAACCTTCCCACACATTTCTCTTCACAACCCAGATTCTTGAATATTAGAGAGGCTTCAGGATTCACTTATTTCACTTACTGTGTCTTCTGTCTACAAAAGCTCACTTACACATCTCACAAACTATTTTAAAAACTAGGACTTTGTTATCACTTGCCAAATTCATGTAACTCAAAAATACTCCTATGAGTTTGCTTTTATTTGTTTCCTGCATTTTGATGTGTCATAGATAATACATGAACTAAATCATGATCTTCATCCCCAAAACTCTTCCTCTAAATATTTCTCTTCTCTCAGAGAAATGAACACTGCCAGTATGACGAGGCAAGCCAAAGACACTGAAGTCATCTGGAACACTTGGCTTTCTCTCTACCCCTTTCAGTGTGACCACTCTAAGTAAACCCAGAATCAGCTCACATTTGAATTTCTACAACTTCCTTATCTATTCTAGGATTGGCACATGTTGTTGAGTCAGTAAGAGACTGAATCCTATATGAATATAATGAAGCTAAAAATCCCTATCACCAAAAGATATTAGTGAACCATGGTAATATCTTAGCACATTCCTCGTGTATTTGTGGTATGCTACTCCTATCCTACTATATAACCAGTCATGTAAAAATAATGCTGTTGCTATTAAGAGTAAGCATTTGTTACTAGGTTATACAGTAAGGGTAAGAAAACACTTTTTTGAATATATTATTGGGTAAGACTTGTAGTTTTTTTTTGGGGGGAGGGGGTTTGAGACAGGGTTTCTCTGTGTAGCTTTGCGCCTTTCCTGGAACTCACTTGGTAGCCCAGGCTGGCCTCGAACTCACAGAGATCCGCCTGCCTCTGCCTCCCGAGTGCTGGGATTAAAGGCGTGCGCCACCACCGCCCGGCCCAAGACTTGTAGTTTTATCATCATTTTAAAGTGTACTCCTGTTTACAAAAGAAAGATGCTTGTTCTACAGTAGTATTCTACACTATGCCAGCAGCATGCTTATGGGTGTGTGTGTGTGTGTGTGTGTGTGTGTGTGTGTGTGTGTGTGTGTAATGCTGATGCTTCCACAATGACCACAATGACAAAAATAACCTTGAGATGCCTCTCTTGAGCTTCTCCTCATTAAATGATGTATGTGCATTTGTATTCCATCTAGTTCTCTGAATTATAATGCAATATAGATTTATGTCAGTTGCTGTATCTCTAACATCTGTAATAGGCCCTCATATGCAGTGGACTCTCATTAAATGTTTCTAGTAAATTCCTCATTTGCTTAAGGATTCATTGTTATAGTTTGTGTTTTATTGTTAAGAACCTTAGTATCATAAAAGAGTTACTGAGACTCCAGACTCTTTACCTTGCTGCCTAGGATTTCCTAGTTGCCATGGATGGCCCAATGTAAGAAAACATAGGGTATCATGGCCAGGCACTACTTGAAAAGTGTTTCATAACCGTCAACAACAACAACAACAACAAATTAAGAGCTTTACTTTTAGCCAACTGCTCATTTCTTTGATTGGCCTACTCATTTCTTGGCACCCGTCTTTTTTGTTGTCTTGCCTGTATGAGTTCTCCTACATAGCTGTCCTTCCTTTCATCTTCCTACAGCTTAGCTCGAAGAGCCTTTCAAGGTTGAGCGGAGAGAACTGAAAGCACCAGTTAGTCTTTGGTGGTTAAATCCTACTCCTTACTTGATGCCAACTTTCTCCTTCAGCCTGGCAGTGCAGTCACTCTGGGACATGGGGTTCTCCACCGCCCACTTCCCAAACCCACACACCTGGCACCACATTCTTCATGATAATGCCGCCTTCTTTGATTGCTAGAACACTGACCACCTCTGCCTTCCTGTCTATTCGGATGTGAAGACCTGTGAGTGAATTTTGATGCATCTCTTTTCTAGTATGAACTTATGATGGTGTGACTTGTTGTGTTTGGTAAGTTTCCACATTGGTGTAGATTTGAGTCCTAAAGAATGTGATATATCTGAAAGTATCAGTCATTCCCTGTAAGAATACTGGGAATTTCAGGATTAACTTTTCTTCTTTCATTTTATTTTGGGAAACAAACAAGCAACAGTAACCCTGACTAATATTCACTGGCTCCTTGAAGATTCTCCCAACCACAGAC